GCCAGAGGTTGAGCTGATGCGCAGCGTACCGGACCGCAAACCGCCACAGAAAGTGGGGGGCAGCCGCATGGATCAAGGAGGTACGGGCGACCTCCATGACCAGGCCAATGCGGCGCTCCGCAACCCCATTCTGCTGTGGTGAGGCCGGAAGCGTGAACGACTGCTCAATGCCGTGCTCAGCACAGTAGGCTGCCAAGAGGTCGGAGGAGAACTCACCACCTCTGTCAGAGTGCAAGCGCAGGACAGGAAAGTCCGAGTGGAAACGCTCGCTGAGCTGGAGACGGGCTCTGCGGATCCAAGGGATCAAGACATCAGGGACCTCACCCTTGGTGCGCAAGGGGAAGACCGAGGTGTAGCGCGAGTAGTCGTCAACAACTATCAGGAAGTACCTCTCCTCACTCTGACCACGGACGCGGGCTGGGCCCCACACGTCCATGTGGAGCGTCTGCAAGGGAGCAGTCGTCGGGGGAAACGAGGAGGAGTGAGGAGCGGCGCGCTGCCGTCCCTCGACACAGGGGAGACAGGTAGGAGCATGTGAGGGAGGGAGGGGAGGAAGGACCCTGGGAAGGCCAGAGACAAGGTACCGAGAGTGCATGGCACGAAGCCGCTACACAAACGGGTGGCCAAGGCGGTGGTGCGCCAGAGAGCGACACGAGCAGGGGGCCGACAGCTGACCTGACGCGGACGCAGACGCAGACAGAGCAAACCTGAGGGGACTCAATGGTCAGTGTGTACAGGTCCGACCCCGGCTGCCGAGTGAAGGTAGCCAAGTGACGGCCCGTACGAGCACACGTACAGTGTGTCACGCGCTCGTAGGCAAGGGTGAACTGGTGAACACCCCCGTCCTGGAGCGCATATCCTGCCACCAAGTTCGTAGAGAACGAGGGGAGGTGGAGACCTGACAGTGTGCCCGACAGGACCGCAGGACAGGGAAGGACAGTGGAAGAGGTCGCAATGACCGGACCCCCAGAGGGGTCAGCAAGGGAGACAGCAACTGGCCGAGCAAGCGGCTCAAGGGCGGTGCGGTCACGAAAGAAGCAGCGAGAAGCACCTGAGTCTAGTGTGAAGGTGTGCAGTGCTGCAATCGACTCAGTACCAAGGAGGGCAGACGCACAAGCACCTAGAGGAGCTGCGTCACCAGCACCTGGGGTAGGCCGACACGCGAGTACCTGGAGCGGCAGATGCACTAGTCCTAATGCCCGGGTCGGGCGGCACACACAGGTACTCAGCACCCTCTCCACTAGTAGACATCACATACATAGCAGATAGAATAGCATCAAAGTCTAGAGCATAGATATCAATCCCCTTCTTCAGGAGATCAATCCAGCGAGGCATCTCAGTGGCCTGAGGGAACTGAACACAGCCAAGCGTCGTCGAGACGAGGGAAGCAGCGCTGTGTGGCGTGCGGTCGTCCACACTGCTGACCAGTGCGGGCACCAGTGTGAATGACGTACATGCAGCTAAAGCCACCCCCCCCCCCCCCCCCCCCCCCCGCGTGCTGAGAGGACCACTCACGGACCTCCTGGGGCGACGGAGTGTGCTGCTGGCCCTGGCCACCGCCAGCGCCTCCACGACCACCACCGCCGCCGCCAGCCGCCTCCTCGACTACCCCAATCCCTGCCGCCGCCTCGTCCACCGCCACCCCCACCACCCGCCTCCGCCTCTGCCACCTCCCCCGCCGCTGCCGCCACCACCCCCACCGCTGCCACTAGCCCCTCCAGTCGCGCCACCACCCCCACCAGCCTCCACCGCCCCCACCACCGCCTCCCCCGTCGTCACGCCCACCGCCCTTGCCCCCCTTGCCCTTGCCGCTGCGGCGCCCGCTCGAAGCAGACGCAGTACCGACCTTCTCAGAACCAAGAAGGTCGACAGCAGCAGCAGAGGCGACAGAGGGAAGAAGGGGGGAAGGAGAACACCCCTTAAAGAACGGGGTACGGGGGTCGCCACGAGAGGCACCTACAGCGACTATGCTAGTCTCAGCTGCAAGCAGTTCCTTCTCGAGAAGGGCAATGGTGAGCTCAGTGGGGCAGCGAGCTAGGAAGTGGTCCCTGTCAGCACGCAGTGTGTCAGGGAGGCGGGTGACTAGGTGGTAGAGAGTGAGCCAGAGTGGGGGGGGGGTGCGTGGCAAGGAACCCAGCGGGCATGGCGGCACGGAAGCAGGCCTCACTAGTACGGAGGTGCGTGATGAGGTCAGCAACTGTGTGGAACGAGGCCAGGTCGGGAAACAGGTAGGGGAGGGAGAGACGGCCTAGCGCGGCAGAGGCAGGTGAGGAGTAGCGAGCAACGACAGCTGTGTACAGTGCCTGTGCAGTCTTGTGCTGGCCAAAGTGCTCGCGTTCGTCTATCGGCAGGGAGTTGCGAATAGCGAAGCGAGCGTGGGCATCACGAGTCTGCCACTGTGAGCGAGCAGTGCTGTCAGCAATTGCAGCAGGGGCAGTGACATGGCCTAGGGCGTGGTCGTACAGTGAGATGTCGTCCTTGGCTGTGAGCTATAGATAGAGGTGCAGGTCATCTAGCCAGGTGTCAAACTTCACTGGGCGGTCCTCAGCATCGAAAACTAGCACCTGTGGGCTAGCCATAGGAGCAGTAGAAGTAGCAGCAGTAGGAGGAGGATGAAGCAGGTAGGGCGGCTCGGTTCAGGTAGGGCGGCGCAGCTCGGGTGGGGCGGCGCGGTTCGGGTCGGGTCGCGCGGCTCGGCTTGGGTCGCGCGGCTCGGCTCGGGTCGCGCGGCTCGGTTCGGTCCCGGGCTGTGGCGGTCATAGGGGCCGCTCGGGGCCTCTAGGGGCGAGCGCGGGGGCCGTTCGGGGCCTCTAGGGGCGGTGGGCGCGGGGGCCGACGGGGCCGTTCGGGGGCCTCTAGGGAGGTGAGCGCGGGGCCTTAAAGGGGCCTCTAGGGGCCGTAAAGGGGGCCTCTAGGGGCCGACGGGGCCGTTTGGGGCCTCTAGGGAGGTGAGCGCGGGGCCCGACGGGGCCGTAAGGGGCCTCTAGGGAGGTGAGCGCGGGGCCGACGGGGCCATTCGGGGCCTCTAGGGAGGTGAGCGCGGGGCCGACGGGGCCGTTAGGGGCGATCGCGGGGCCGAAAGGGGCCGCTAGGGGCGAGCGCGTGGGCCGTTCGGGGCCTCTAAGGGCAAGCGCGGGGCCGTAAAGGGGCGAGCACGGGGCCGTAAGGGGCAAGCGCGTGGGCCGACGGGGCCTTAAGGGGCGGGTCGCGGGTCGCAGGGCCTTAGAGGGCCGTGAAAACCGAGGCGCCCTAGGGCGCAGGTAGGTAGGTAGGTAGGTAGGGTAGTGGTGGGCCTTAAAAAAAATCGGTCCTAGGAAGGACCTGCTCTATACCATGTTGAAATGAACGAACAGGAATGAATGAACTAACAGTGAAGGCACCGACTCGTCAAAGGTGACGTCTTGGGAGGACAGAACACGGCGCAAAGTGGGGTGGTAAAACTGCCACCCAGACGCGTCAGGGGGGGAAGCCAAGGAAGACGCAGGGAACAGCACGGGGGGACACCTTGTGCGCAGGACAAGTTGGGGTCAAACGCCCGAGATCCCCAGACCTGAAACGCAGACGCATCGCCAACCTTCCCCGGTCCACCGCAAGGCGGGGGAGATCTCTGGCAAGGAGACCTGGGGCTGAAGGTTGAGCTGATGCGCGGCGTACTGAACCGCAAACGGCCACAGAAAATGGGGAACAACCACATACATCATGGGACGTACGAGCGACGTCCATGACCATGCCAATGCGGCGCTCAGCAATCCCATTTTGCTGTGGAGAGGCCGGAAGCGTGCAGGTCTGGCGGATGCCCTGTGCACGACAGAAGGCTCCCAGACGGGCAGAGGAAAACTCCCCGCCTCTGTCCGAGTGCAGACGCAGAACAGGAAAGTCCGAGCCGAAACTCTCTCTGAGCTGGAGACGAGCTGCGCGGATCCAGTCGATCAACACCTCATTGACGTCACCCTTGCTGCGCAAGGGGAAGACTGTGGTGTAACGCGAGTAGTCGTCAACCACCAGCAGGAAGTACCGCTCGCGTCCCTGCCCACTAACGCGGGCTGCGCCCCATGTCAAACATTATATGTTTGTGTGGTTCTAGGCTGTAGTGGGTCACACCATAGGGGGTACACCAGTTTAGGGTTTCATATTTGTACTGTTGTTCCTGCTAGTCACATCATTCCTGTTTCTCATTCTGACATGGTATTACGAGCCTAGGTTCCACCTAGGACCGGAACGTTAGGGCCCACCGTTTCCGCTAGCCGCGCCCTCGTGCGCCGCCTTTTCCTAGCGCCCTCGTGCGCCTCGTTCCTAGCGTCGCCCCTTCAGGCCCCTCACGGCCCCTCGCGTCGCCCCTTACGGCCTCTCATGGCCCCATCTTAAGACCCCGCGCTAGCCCCTTAAGGCCCCGCATCGGCCCCACGCTAGCCTCTCACGACCCCCTATGGCCCTGCGCTAGCCCCTAACAGCCCCGTGTAGCCCCGCGCTAGCCTCCCACGACCCACCTACGACCCCGCGCTAGCCTCCTACGGCCCCGATTGGCCCCGCGCTAGCCTCGAACGGCCCCGTGTGGCCCCCGCGCTAACCTCCCACGGCCCCGTAAGGCCCCGCGCTAGCCTCCCACGGCCCCTTCAGGCCCCGCGCTAGCCTCCCACGGCCCCTTAAGGCCCCGCGCTAGCCTCCTACGGCCCCCAAATGGCCCAGCGCTAGCCCCGACCGGCCCTCGAACGGCCCCTCCCGCGCTCGCCCCTCTACGGCCGAGCCGCACAGCGCGACCCCAGCTGCACCGCGCGACCCGAGCCGAGCCGCGCGACCCAGCCGAGCCGCGCCGCCCCAGCCGAGCCGCGCCGCCCTAGCCGAGCCGCGCCGCCCTAGCCGAGCCGCGCCGTCCTAGCCGAGCCCGCACCCTCCTTACCTGAGCAGCAGCACCACTACTGCTACTGCTACTAGCTACTACTACCGCTGCTGCTGCTGCTACTGCTACTGCTACTGCTACTTCTGCTACTGCTACTTCAGCTATGGCTAGCCCTCCAGTTCTCTCGTTCGATGCTAAGGGCCGCCCGATTAAGTTTGAGACCTGGCTCGATGATCTGCACCTGTTCCTCCAGCTCACTGCCAGAGAGGATATCTCGCTGTAACGATCACGCACTAGGCACAGTCCCTCCTCCTGCTACTACTGGCTGGCTGCATACGTGCTACTGACTGCTCGCGTCACAGTGGCAGACTCGCGATGCCCACGCCCGCTTTGCTATTCGCAACTCCCTGCTAGTCGATCGAGCGCGAGCAACTTTGGCCAGCATCAGACTGCGCAGGCCCTGTACACTGCTGTAGTTGCGCGCTACTCCTCCCCCGGCCTCAGCTGCACTAGGCGCCCTCTCGCTTCCCTACCTGTTTCCCCGACCTGTCCGCCTTCCAGACAGTCGCTGACCTCATCACTCACCTCCGCACTAGTGATGCCGCTTCCGTGCAGCCATGCCCGCTGAGTTCTTGCCTCCAACCCTCCCCCGCTCTGGCTCACTCTCTACCACCTAGTCACCCGCCTCCCTGACACTCTGCGTACAGTGAGGGACCACTTCCTAGCTCGCTGCCCACTGAGCTCACCATTACCGCCCTAGAGAAGGAACTACTTGCAGCTGAGAAGAGTATTGTAGCTGTAGGTACCTCTCGTGGCGACCCCCGCACCCCTTTCTTCGAGGGGTGTTCCCCCTCCCCCCTGCTCCCCTCTGTCGCCTCTGCTGCTACTGTCGACCTCCTTGGTGCTGAGCAGGTCGGCTCTGCGTCCGCTCCCAGCGGGCGTCGCAGCGGCAAGGGCAGGGGAGGCAAGGGCGGTGGGGGTGACGGCGGGGGAGGCTGGTGGTGGGGGTGGTGGCGGCGGTGGGGGTGGTGGCGGGGCTGGAGGGGCTAGTGGCAGCGGTGGGAGTGGTGGAGGCAGCGGCGGCGGCGGCGGCCGGGGTGGTGGGGCGGTGGTGGTGGCGGTAGTGGACGTGGAGGCGGCAGGGGCGGTGGTGGTCGTGGTGGAGGCGGCGGTGGTGGTCGTGGAGGCTCTGGCACTGGCCAGAGCGCGCAGCACCCTCAGTCCTCCCAGGAGCTTCGTGAGTGGTACTTACAGCACGGGGGTGGGGGGGGTAGCCTTAGCTGCACGTACGTCATCTGCACTGGTCGCCGCAAGGGACAGACGCGCGGGAGGGCGCACACTGCGCAGCGCTGCTTCTCTTGCCTAGATGACGCGTGGCGTGCTCAGTTTCCTGACGCTCCTGAGCTCCCTCAGTGGGCTGATCTCCTCAAGAAGGATATCGATATCTATGCTCTTGATTTGATGTTATTCTCAAAGCCATGTATGCATTGACTATTAGTGGAGAGGAGGACCAGTACCTGTGTGTTCCGCCTGACCCAGGCATCCGCACGAGTGAGGTTGCCGCCCTAGGTGCTTGCGTGTCTGCTGCCCCAGGTGCTAGTGCGGCTACTGCTCTAGGTGCTTGTGTGTCCGCCACCCCAGGTACTACTGAGTCCACTAAGGCACTGCACACCTTCACTCTAGACTCAGGCGCTTCGCGCTGTTTCTTTCGTAACAGCACTGCTCTTGAGCCCCTTGCTCGACCAGACGCTGTCCTCGCTCGCTGACCCCTCTGGGGGTCCGGTCATTGCGACCTCCTCCACTGTCCTTCCTTGTCCTGCTGTCCCGTCGGGCACACTGTCAGGTTTCCACCTCCCCTCGTTCTCTACGAACTTGGTGGCAGGTTGTGCGCTTCAGGATGGGGGTGTTCACCAGTTCACCCCTGCCTACGAGCGCGTGACACACTGCACGTGTGCTAGGACGGGCCATCACCTGGCTACCTTCACTCGGCAGCCGGGGTCGGACCTGTACACACTGACCACTGAGTCCCCTCAGGTAGCGGCGTCTGCGTCTGCGTCAGGTCAGCTGTCTGCCCCCTGCTCGTGTCGCTCTCTAGCGCACAAGACTGTCCTCTGGCACCACCGACTTGGTCACCCGTCAGTGCAGCGCCTTCGGGGCATGCACTCCCGGTACCTTGTCTCTGGTCTTCCTCGGGTACTCCCTCCCCTCCCACCCTCCCGTGCTCCTGCTTGTCTTCCCTGTGTCGAGGGGCGGCAGCGCGCTGCCCCTCACTCCTCGTTCCCCCTGACGACAGCTCCTTTGCAGACGCTCCACTGGACGTGTGGGGCCCAGCCCGCGTCCGTGGTCAGGGCCAGGAGAGGTACTTCCTGATCGTCGTTGACGACTACTCGCGCTACACCACGGTCTTCCCCTTGCGCACCCAAGGGTGAAGTCCCTGATGTCCTGATCCCTTGGATCAGCAGAGCACGTCTTCAGCTGCGAGAGCGTTTTCGCTCGGAGGTTCCTGTCCTGCGCTTGCACTCTGACAGAGGTGGCGAGTTCTCCTCCGACCTCTTGGCAGCCTACTGTGCCGAGCACGGCATTCGCCAGTCGTTCACGCTTTCCGGCCTCTCCACAAGCAGAATGGGGTTGCTGAGCGCCGCATTGGCTTGGTCATGGAGGTCGCTCGTACCTCCTTAGTCCACGCGGCTGCCCCCCACTTTCTGTGGCCGTTTGCGGTCCGGTACGCTGCGCATCAGCTCAACCTCTGGCCCCGTGTCTCCGCTCCGGAGACCTCGCCCACACTGCTGTGGACGGGGGAGGTTGGCGATGCGTCACGCTTCCGTGTCTGGGGATCCCGAGCTTTTGTTCGCGACACGTCTGCGGACAAGCTCTCCTCCCGCACTGCTCCCTGTGTCTTTCTTGGCTTTGTTCCGGATGCGTCTGGCTGGCAGTTTTACCACCCCGCCTCGCACCGCGTCTTCCCCTCTCAGGACGTTACTTTTGACGAGTCCGTGCCCTTCTACCGCCTCTTCCCCTACCGCACTGCCCCGCTCCCTCCTCCGCCTCTCTTCCTCGCGCCAGGTGCTGCAGTGGTAGACCCCTTCCCCCCTCAGGGTGCCGCTCCCTCAGGTGTCTCTCAGGTAGACCCGGTTGAGCCTGCCGAGGTAGCTGTCGACTCGCGTCCTGCTAGAGGTGCTGAGCCTGAGCGTGCGGAGCCTGAGTGTGCGGAGCCTGAGCGGGTGGAGCCTGGGGGTGCTGAGTCTGGGGGTGCTGAGACTGGGGGTGCTGAGACTGGGGGTGCTGAGCCTGGGGGTGCTGGGTTTGGGGGTACTGAGCCTGGCGTTGCCGAGTCTGGGGGTGCTGAGCCTGGTGTTGTTGCAGTTGACTGTGAGGCGCCTGGAGGACCTCCTCTTCGCAGCAGCTACGTGAGTGGTACTCACGGTACTGCAGCCCTCCGGCAGGGTACGTCTCGGGCTCGTGGTGCTACTGGAGTTGGTACTCGTTTTCCCCACCACGGCGGGAGCCGCCCTCTTCCCCACAGCTTCGAGAGTGGTACGCTCGACACATCAGTCTCCGGAGTGGAGCTGCTGGTGCTGGGTCCCCGGTGTTGACGCTGCCGCGGGTGCTGCGGACCCTGGTGCTGGAGGTGCTGCTGCTGCGCTGGCGGTGCTGCTGCTAGAGGTGCTGCTCGTACTGAGGACCCGGGCGTTGGAGCTGCTGTGGGTGCTGCGGACCCTGCTACTGGAGGTGGTGCTGCTGCTGGAGGTGCTGCTGGTGCTGCTGGAGGTGCTGCTGCTGCCGCTGGAGTGGGGGACCCGGAGGGTGGAGCTTCTGCTGGTGCTCAGGACCCTGCCGCTGGTGTCTCTGCTGGTTCAGGAGTTGCTGCACGGCCACGGCCGTACTTCGTTCCGCTCCTTCAGCAGGTTCTTGGTCAGACTCCTCCTCCTTGTCCTCCTCTCGCCTTAGAGTGTCCGCCGTCTGTCCAGTCACAGCCACAGTTACCGCCTGCCTCCCCACTCCCTGTGCCTACTCCTTACACACTGGTCCGACTGGAGGTCTTGCTGAGAGACGTGAGCCTGCGTCACGTCCTGTGTCACCTGCGTCTCGTCGAGCGTCGCCTGTTCGTGCTGCTACCACTGGTAGTCGTGTCCAGCGTCAGCGTCCTCCTGCTGTCCCAGGCACTCACAGATGGCGCTTCGTCAGTCCACTGCTCCACAGCGTGTCGCTCTCCCGTCGCCTCCGGCGTCCTCTCTTCCTGCTCTTGCTGACCCGAGTCAGACACCCTTCGCGCTGCCAGTCCTACTGTCACACGTCTCCTGGCTACAGTTGTCACTGACCCTTCCTTTGAGTCCGCTGCTGCGTCTGCCTTAGTCACTGAGCTTGTCGACTTTGCAGCTGCGTGTCGTCTAGACTACGCTGCGAATCTTGTTGCTGAGTCTGAGTCTGTCTGTCCTCCGTCCGTCGGGGGTGAGTGTGCTCTTGGCACGGACGTTCTTGAGGACAGACAGGAGGAGTTTGGTTGCCTTGCCGCTGCTTTGCCCCATCTCGTGTCCATTGCTTGCTGCCCCTGAGGGAGACCCGGATGCACCAGACATCCCGACCCCACGCTCTTACGCAGAGGGCTTGGCCGGTCCCTACTCCTCTCAGTGGCAGTCAGCCATGGACACAGAGATGGCTTCCTGGAAGTCCACTGGCACCTACGTCGACGAGGTTCCCCCACCTGGGGCGAACATCGTCAGTGGCATGTGGATTTTCAGGGTGAAGCGGCCGCCGGGCTCTCCGCCTGTCCTTCAAGGCGCGTTCGTTGCACGAGGCTTCAGTCAGCGAGAGGAGTT